TGAGAGCTGCTCAGCGCCAACAAGTTTTCAAGGCGTAGCTAAACATAATCCTTTACTAACGGCTAACGCAAAACAGTAGCTCAGGAACTCTTCCAAAAAGGATAAGAAGTTATTTCTCATGTTCCTGAAGGGATCACCCAGAAGAGATTTTATGGGTTACTTCTACTCCTTTGGGATTCTGATGACATTAGTCAGACAGTCTGTGTTATCAATCGCCTGACAGACCAGAAGATACCTTAAGAACAGCCTATTAAAAAGTACTTGAGTTCATTTTACCCTACAACTACAGATCTTGACTCCCATGGTAGTTTAATTGCACATTTTATGACAAGTTTGGTAATCATACTTGACCAGGAATTCCTAATAACTGATGATGAAAAACAATCAAAGAAGTCCTCCTTCTGAAAAAGACACATTTATTTGACTTTTTAAAAAAATTTTTTTAAAGTAAAACAAAACAAGTCACCTTAGGATCTGACTGTAACAGCTATAACAGACTAATCAAACATTTTATGAGCACAGCTCTCCATCTTGCAGAGGGAACTCGTTGGTTTCTGCCTGTCTCTACTGATCAGATGCAAGCATCAGAGCAACATCACCACCTTCAGTGGTTCCATCTTTCTGTATTTAGTTAGCACAGAAGCATAAAAAGCAGCAGATGATCCTCAGACTGCTTCTGTTCTAGCCTTAGTGGGTTTCTAGATCTTTGCCATTCACTGGGAAAGGCACTATAACATTATGTAGATATCGGATATAATGGGAGTTGGCCGGAACAGTTTTTCTCTGTGAAGAGGAAATGGCAACATAAACACATGACAAAGATTAGCAGAATTTCTCCAGTAATTTGCAATTGCCCCCCCATGTAGCTGCTGCAAAGTCATCATAGACTGTACCGAGCAGAAAGAGTAACAAACTGCCAAGTTTCTGGTATAATACTAAAAGAGGACTACAAGAAAACTGGATAGGAAGCTATGCGGAAGGTACAGCTTTTGGATCACATACATCTTACACAGCTGGAATCCCTAAACTACCAAGTATAGCAGCGTGTGGACTTCCAGGTTGCTGCTTTTCTAAGCTACTGCACCCGTGCTAGGGAGGCATGCCAGGAAGCCATGCCAAAAGGGCAACCTGCCACTTGCAGGTCCAACCCGGCTGATGCAGAACAAGTTCAAACGTGGCAGTATCGCATACTGAGCTGTTCTTAGAGAGCACAGACCTACTTTGGGATGCCCAGCATGAGAGCTGCAGATCCGCCATTCTCCTCCAAACAGGATTGTTTCACTTCTAACAAAAGCACTGAGTGAGAAAAATCTAGGAAAGTCCTCATCCCTAACTGGTAGCGTTGCAAGAACGGACAAAAACAATGACTCAAAAAGCAGCCACCACAAAATCTCATACTGAAGCACAATGCCACTCATGAGCAGCACTATCAAGTGGGCAACTACTGGAGTCCATAGGTTTGGCGTCAATTCAAACATCTAACATGTGATACCTAGGACCAATAACACAGAACATTTGGAGGTGGTGTCAGACCACTATCAGTGTAGTACCTTGGCATAAAAATTGCTAAATCAGGCCTTATCAGAAGAGACCTGGAGTTTAAAGTAAACTCCTCAGAGGTAGAGAGATACTGAGGGTAGGGGGGAAAAGAGTGAAAGGCCGGAGGGGAGGGAGGAAAGAGCCATGGCTTGTCCTGCTTCTTCTCCTTTACCTTGGGAAAACGAAAGCAGTACAGCTATTTCTCGGAGGCCTGGTTATCAACAGAAATCTAACTCATGACAGAGCTGGGCAGATCATGTTTATTCCCAATTGAAAACTGACTTGTAGATTAAAGTTTTTAAACAGCCTTCCTTTATGCTAACAAAAAAATGCCCAAAAAACAAGAAAACCCAACAACAGAGCACTGGAACATTTGTTAAACGATATGCCTCTCACCTCAGCAAGATAGTAATCTGCTACGTCCATCAAATACAGATATAATTACCTTACACAAAAGGCAGTATTTGAACCATGGTGATTTTTGCTAAATCGAAAGGGTAAGAAAGAGCTTGGACAATGAGAGAGAGAGAACCAGCTCAGAAATAAAACCAGACAAACAGGTTCTACATTAATTTGTAACCTACAATAAACAGGTATCTAAGTGCAAAATTAATCAGCTTTTACTCCAAGGACATTTCTCTAACTTCCACTTTGCAGCCACAATCAGCTAAACAAAACCACAGTATGGTGCACTAACATTAAGGCTTTGGATGTTGGCGATGACATAACAGCTAGAGCAGGGGCCTGAAACCAAAGAACACTGACAATTAAGATATTACTGTTATATCACAGAGAACACTATATATACACAGTATATCACTAGTCCACATGTGGACAAACACTTGAAAAATTTCCTTCAGCATGGTCCCTAGTATTATGTTTTATTTCCCTTATTTTAAACACGCACAGTTGCAAACCCTCCTTGTGAGAAAAAGAAAAGCCTCAGACTTTTTACAATCAACGCGCTATACCATAAAACATCTTGTGACCTTCAAGTGCTTTTCCTTTGTCCTTTGCACTTTAAAGTGCACTATGTGAGAAAAAAAAAGCCAGAAGCACAATCCTCTGTTTCAAGTGGTCTGAAAAGAATAGGGTTATAATATAGCAAAGTCTGAGGTCAAGCAGGTGGTTGTCCTGATTTGGTAACTCACTGGTTTGGCACAGGAGCAAATAACCCTATCTCTCTCCAGCCACCAACTCTCAAACACTCTGGTAAACAGCATTGACATGGTTTTCTCCTGACCATTTCTGGCCAAAAGACAATGTAGAAAAGCCAGACCAACCTTTCTTTTAATCTTAAATGAACTGCTCACCAGGAAAAATTAAATGCCACTCTTAATCAACAACCAATGTGAAAGGCCTCAGAATAAACTGTGTAGATGGGCATATTAAATATTGTCTGTCTTAAAAAAAAAAAAAAGCACCACACAAATCACACAATCACAGAATGGCAGAGGTTGGAAGGGACCTCTGGAGATCATCTAGTCCAACATCCCTGCTAGAGTAGGATCACCTAGAGCATGTTGCATAGGATTGCGTCCAGGTGGGTTTTGAATCTCTCCAGAGAAGGAGACTCTACAACCTCTCTGGGCAGTCTGTTCCAGTGCTTGGTCACCCTCAAAGTGAAGAAGTTTCTCCTCATGCTGAGATGGAACTTCCCGTGTTCCAGTTTTTGCACTTTGTCCCTTGTCCTGTCACTGGGCACCACTGAAAAGAGTCTGGCCCCTTCCTCTAGGCATCCACCCTTCAGATATTTATAAGCATTGATGAGATCCCCTCTCAGTCTTCTCCAGACTAAACAGCCCCAGCTCTCTCAGCCTTTCCTCATACGAGAGATGCTCCAGTTGCCTAATCATCTCTGTAGCCCTCCGCTGGACTCTTTCCAGTAGTTCCCTGTCTTTCTTGAACTGGGGAGCCCAGAACAGGACACAGAACTCCAGATGTGGCCTCACCAGGGCAGAGTAGAGGGGGAGGAGAACCTCCCTCAACCTGCTCGCCACACTTTTCTTAATGCACTCTATGCTAGAGTTGTTGATACTAATAAATATACCGCCTTTTATTCCAATTTATCTTCATTAGCAGTGAACAGAACAAATAATTACTCCAACTATTGACTGTGCCCATACTTTTTACCTCTGAGCAGTGATCTGGAAAAGTCTGAACCAATTAGTGTTAAAACACCATCCTTAACAAAATTAAAGAAAATAAACTGTTTAATAAAATTCCTGAAAACATCAGTATTGATCATTCTAGGATGAGTAATATATTCAAATAATAAATAAATGATAAATATTTCTGATGCTTAGAAGAATGCTTACACAGTTCTGTAAACTCATTCATTAAGTAGTTTTCATGAAATTAAGGGTAAATAAAATCAGTAATACAGCAGCAACGGGTGTGGTGGTTCTCTGCACAGGACCTTCGGAGAAAGTAAGAATCAACATTAACTAGTAAACCTGCAGTTGACAGAAAACTGTAACATACATTTTGTGTTTAAGGTGTGTAAAACCAGAACCTGTTCACTAGCCAATGCATTCATTAATGTTTACCATTGTTATACAACACTATTCTGAATTACTCATTGAGAAACTTAATATACACAGAAGTATCCCTGCTATGTAGGTTTCCTCCTCAAAGATAAAATGATTACAAGCCCCATTTAAATGGAGTCTAGCAACAAAAACTAAATAAGGGGGGAGCAGGGGTCCCAGCAGCATTCTTTCTTACAACTCGGTAAAGCGAATTTTAAAAAGTGAAATTTTTATTTCTGCCCATGTTTAAAAGAAGCAAGAAACAGATATGCTTGACCACAACAGTTGATGACATTTAATACATGTATCTAGACCTTTTTTCAATAAATACAATTCACTAGGTTATAGCAAGCAAAACCAGCTCTTTTCAGATGACAAGTAAGGGTAGCGATGACGTTCCAAGTGCCAAAATCTGAAGGTAAAGAGTCTAGCTTCTCAATCAACTGACAGCTGAGTACCTTTTTCTTTTATTCAGAACCAGGAACATAGAAATAGTTATTTATTTCTGAAACATCTGGTTATTAGGAAGCAAGAATACCTCATGCTCCAACAGTTAAAAGGCCACCTCTTAATTTAGAGGCTTCCCCAGTTGCCTTGCCCAGGTGCACTCCTGGCTAGGTCTTGGCTGTATGTCTGGATTAAGCTTCTGTTTCACACATCCCATACTACCACATTTGCTCTGGAGACTTATTTTACTTACGTGGAAACCGAATTTATGTGGTACTCCTAGTCTAGTACTAAAAAACCATGAACCAGAACTATAGTGCATCTGTTTTTAGTTGAGACAAAGAAAGAGTATTATAGAAAGTGACCTGTTTGTGGGAAGCGCCTATTGAAATACTTGAAATGAAGATTAGCATATGAACAAATGAAATCTCTGTACAATTAACAAACCTAACAAAAGAAAGCATGTAAAAAAAAAAATACTACCTTCTTTTCAGTGGGGCTTGAAGTCTTTGATACTAATGCTGCTTCAACAAGACCCTGCTCAAGTAAGGAGTCATATTTTATGCTTCTTTTTCTGTTTCTCCTCTCCTTGTTTGGTGGCTTTTGTTCATTTTCCTCTGACTGAGACACATCTGCACCATTGTCTCCACAAATGGAAGATTCAAAAAGAGGCTTTCCATTCATGTAGGTTTTAGTGATTTTCAGCTTAATTTCTGGAGAGCCATTTTTGATAGGAGTAGTGTTGGGTGGTGTTCCAACTCCCTTTATTTCCTGGGGTTCAAAGCGCAGCTTGGCATCTTGGGCCCCAGACTCGCCATTAAACACACGAGAGGTCAGATCTTTCAATTTATCAGCTGGAATAAATGGAAGGGCATCATGGCCATTATATTTTTGCATGACACCTTCTTGTAGAGTGGCAGAAAGTTGTGCTTTGCCCAAGTAGACAGAACACTCACGATTCACTTCACAATTCTGAGTTTTCCCATTGGTATTTCCAAGGATCTCTGGTACCTGCTTCATTTTAATGTAGTCAATTTTTCGAGTTAACAGTTGGGAACTTCTTTTGATGCTAAAGTCCATTCAGCCCAGATGTTTCCAGTCTTACACTGCTATATTAAGACAAAAAGACAAAGAATATTTTTAATAATAATAGAAATGTCAAAAGCTACCAAGTATTCAGACAGGTATGTCCCCACTAATATAACACTCAATGTACTTCATTCAATTTTTAGTAAAAAAGGTGTTGCTTACAATCTTCATAACCAAAATACTTCAATATCTGTTAATATGTACTATGAAAAAGTCTAAAAAAAAATAATTGATACATCACCAATTTTATTAAAACAAAAGCAGAGAACAAAATCACAGCTTTCATTTTCACAATCTGTTAACAATCTACAGCATGAGTCCTACAGACAGTAATTACTCAAAGGTATTGCACTGATTAAAACAAGAGTTAGACCTAAGATAATATCATTAATAACAACGTAAAACAGATGAATTTATTTCTAAGAGGTCGTGCCAGTGTAAAAAGCCCACAGGGTGTGTTACTGTAGCACCTACACCATGGACAGCAGCATCACAAGCTTCTCTGCCTCGCTCTACAAACGGGCCCTCAATCTTCCATCAAAGCACACACATCTCCTGAGGAAACAACACAACTCAGGATTCAGATGTATCCCAAAGTGATCTGGCTATGAGAATGAATAAAAGGTGAGCATTTTGTATCGTGAACACCAGCCCACTGGGAAACAGCCAGTGGCCACACTGTGCAAAATTTAAATAGTCAAAGCAACTGCTGGAATTTCAGCTTTTTAATAACAACAATAACATCATCTAATAATCTTTTTTCATACAGAAATTTGAAAACATTCAACAAGCTAAAACTGCACTATTATCTGCCCCAGACAGGTTTTCTGAGGGTTCTAAAAGTTAACCCTGCCCATTTCAACATTATACTGTCGTAGCAAACAAACGAATCTGGCAGAATGACTCCTTTGTGTTCCTGGACCAGGCAAGATGATCGTTTTCATTTTTAAAATCCACATGCATAGACCTTTCTTATTACCAGGTCCAGTATATATACCCTATAGAAGTGCACCATCATAAACCTTAAGAAAGCTCAGCACAACCATCATCACAGCCATGCTCAAGGTAATCAATTTCATATACGATTAAGTCCAAGAACTGGCACATCGAGTCAAAGATTCATCAAATCTAGTCTCACATGCTTCCAAAAAAGTGCAGTAAAAACTATGATGAATAACTATTGAATTGTCAGTTGCCATGGAAGAAATCTCTTCTGAATCTCACCACCTTTTTTATTAATGTACACAGTTATAATGCTTAAAACTTGCATATTCCTGAAACTTGCATATTTGTAACATCAGGAGTAGCAATGTACAAATGCTTATAACTGAACATTACCTTACCCTGGCAAAGCTGCTTAAGGGTGTCAAGTCTGAACTCAAAGCAACTGGTGAACATGAAACATTTTCATGCACCAAGATGCAGAAAACCCCGGTAATCTAAAAATCCTAACTCCATCACTCCTTAGCAAATGTTCCCATCTCCCTTACATGCTACTTTTAGGTACTTATAAGATAAAAGGGTATCTCTCTGTGCTCGTTTTGGCTGGAATAGAGTTAATTTTCTTCATAGTAGCTAGTATGGGGCTGTGTTTTGGATTTGTGCTAGAAACAGTGTTGATAACACAGCGATGTTCTCCTAACTGCTTAGCAGTGCTTACACAGAGCCAAGGCCTCTTCTGCTCCACACAGCACCCCACCAGGAAGTAGGCTGGGGGTGCACAAGGAGTTGGGAGGGGACACAGATGGGACAGCTGACACCAACTGATGAAAGGGATATTCCGTAACACATGACATCACGCTTAGCATACAAAGCTGGGAGAAGAGGAAGGGAGGGGGGGCGGTAGCATTCAGAGTGATGGCGTTTGTCTTCCCAAGTCACCGTTACACGTGATGGAGCCCTGCTTTCCTGGGGATGGCTGAACACCTGCCTGCCCATGGGAAGTGGGGAATGAATTCCTTCTTTCGCTTTGCTTGCATGCACGGCTTTCCCTGTTAAACTGACTTTATCTCAACCCATGAGTTTTCTCACTTTTAGTCTTCTGATTCTCTCCCCCATCCCCTTGTGTGTGGGGGACAGGGGTGGGCGAGCAGCTGTGTGGGGCTTAGCTGCCAGCTGGGGTTAAACCACAAC